AAAAAATGGATTCTAGGTGCCAAAACCATAACGATGGATCATTCTCCCAAAAAAGGTGGGGCTAACGCAACAGTATTGACCATGATAGGCTCTACGGTGCTAACCGCGTATGGAGATGGCTTATTAGATAATGCATTGCAAAAAGCAATAAAAATGTGTTAGGTGAGAAAACAAAATGATCATAAATAATGAATCACAAAGTCACTGGAACGAGCTCACCAGATTGAAAATTCAAAATGGTGGGCGGCGTGTTCTGGTCCGGGGTCACAATTGTTGGGTGGCGCCTGTGGTGCTAGTCGGTAATCAATGGCACGTAAGAGGTGTCAAATACGGGACAGTATAGAAGTTGGAGGCGACTGAACCCAACGTATATTGTGCAGGCTACAAAAATAGGAAGCGAATCAACCAGAGCGAGAAACGGTGCAGCAAGGTACACACCAAAACAGTTTGTGAAAACGGAAGTGCCGTCAGTAAAACAAGTGGATGTTTTGAAGGTTAAAACAACAGTAAAACCGAATGTTGAAAAATACTGAAAGTGTGTTTTCAGGTGCACTACAAGTGCACAAGTGTAAGTGGAACATTGAAAATCGTGTGATCATGTTGGGAAAAATGCTACATCCACTGCACCTTAGTATCCATATAAAGTGACAGAGCTGTTTGTGGAGCCAATACTTTACACCGATAGCAACGAATTCACCGCACTGAGTAGCGTTAATTCGGACGGAACACAGCGTAGGAAAGAAGGTAAGCTGAGCTCAATCATTTTTGGTGTGATCACTCGTATGCTCAAGTAGAAGTAACTAAAATCGAGGTATGAAAATAAATAGGATGGTGAATTTTTATCCCCTACAATCTACAGATCTGAACTGAATCATTCCACTCAACAGTTAAACCGGATGTTGTTCCTTTTCAATTGCACTGCAGTGTCGCTTAAATAAAGTCCAACACTGTTAATCATGAAACCCGAAGTGACACGTTAGAATCACAGAATACGTTATGGACAATATATAACTAAGACTGCACGCATTTGTGAAGGTACATAGTCTTAATATCAAAATCCTTAATTTTCTGTGCGCTAGTCGGGTAACATGTGAAGGGAGTCAAAACATGAACTACAGGTCTCTCTAGCCTGTTTTCCATTCAGTTGCCGTCGATCGACAAAGGTCCGAGAACTGAGGCATAAAGAACCTAAACCCCCTAGTTCATTTCGAAAGTTTGTTAGGAATTTCCACCGTCGACACAACAAAGTGAAGCGAGGTTGGTCGGAATGGATTGTGGAAAGCAGCATGCTTCAAACTTGAAGGTCACTAGGCAAGAGTGAATCAATACATGAGAAATGTGTCGTCTCCTTCACCACACTGCATCACATTAAATCAGAAGCCTGGTTTGGGTTATCTCGTAATCCATGTACACAAATAAACTGTTGAGGTTTGGTACTACATCTCTCAACTCCTTCGACCTTAATCACCATGAGGACTTGCCTAAGCGGATTTGATTTCAGCAAACCCACCACACCAAGGTAAGATGTTATCAGGTTTGTCAAAAACGCGACCCAACAAGAAGAGATATTGCACATCTGCCTAGTTGTTCAGTGTAGTCTCACTGAATGACAAACTGGTATCATAAGGATGTTCGTCCAGTGGTCCCACGACCTATCAGTGAGGTTTCATGGTCGATAGGGGTAAAGTGCAGAGGAATTCAGTCTCTGTAGTGGGCAATGAAATGTGTCTGTTTGATACAATAGCACGAGGTGCACTTTTGAAAGTGTACCCGCTTTCGGATGTTGAATTGAAATTTCATAGTCCCTGGAGATGGTTAAGGCTTTCAAAAGTCAACGAACTCATTTGACACGCACAGCAAACACTTCATCGATTTGCATGCCAAGGGCGATAAGCTACGTAGACAGCGAGTCAGGTTAGCCTTTCGAGTAATTCTTCCATGGTCCTGGGAAAAACGCATGGCAATTTAGCCTAAACATGCAACAGGAACCAACCTTCCCCAGAAACAAAGCACATACAAAAGCGCGCAATGAACCGCAGCAAGCGGTGCAGCAGTGCTCGCATTTAGGAATGTATCTACACCATGAAAACTATATACAAGTGATGCGTATTCCTACTTCATCAGCCGATTAACTAACTAAACCAAGGAGAGTCATTCCGAACCTAAAGCAATAGAGTGTGAGTTCTAGACTAACTCTAATCGTATTTAAGAGCTGGAGGCATTCCCGCAGCTCCAGGTTTGGCAAGGAGTACACAGTAGCTGACGGAAACTGTTATAATTGCGGGTAAGGGGACGCTGAGCCGTCAGAACAAAGCTTTTCACCGCACCGGATAGTGTATTGACCAGATCTCAAGTCACATGAAACAGGCAAGACAGCCGACTATAAAGGTTTGTCAGACAGACGGCGGCCTGAGGCATATGAACCGCAGTAGACCATTGGGTGAGAGTGAAGTTCAGGGTCAAGTGTGTCGGACTACATTGTACTTTTGAGGCACCGGATCGCCGGGTGTAATAAACTTATATCCTATGTTCAGTAAGTACCCAAAACGATAGAGGCAGACAACTGAATGGAAGGCATACATGTAGCCATGGGAGTTTATCACGGTCGGCTGGGCAAATAAGTTACCATTTATAAGTACCTAGGCGGTACCAAAAGTAGGTAAAACTTCTTACTATGATGAAAATCGCTAATCCGTGTTTCTGGAAGAGAGATCTTGGTGTCAGATGCCTGGGATACAAGTTGTATGTCGGTTATCTTTTATTGCAAGGGGCAAAAACATTGATTTATGGCGGGTAAAAATGCTAGTGCCGAAAAAATCCCGTAGGATGACAATAGCTGGTATTGCGACAAGAAAAGTGTGGGGGAAAGATTCAGATTTTAGGCAACTCACCAGCCGATTCTGATGAACAGAAATACAGGTTTCCCACTGCTATATTAATGAGCGCAAGTGAGTACACTATTTACATTGTATGATTACATTTTTCGGTCGAAACGGACTAAATCGCGTAATTCAAACAGTATGGCGCTCGGTTAAATATTCGTTCAGAAAGCGCAAAAGTAGGGATAGAAATAACATGACGTGGAAGAGCGTTTTGTCTAGAGCACCCGAAAAGGGAATAATGTTGTCGGCAATCAAGTCGACCGAAATGCATGGCCGATGTGAATAAATGGCTTCTCGGGTCAGTATTGTAGTCAAGTTGAAACAGATGGCGACAGGCGTGATTGAGGTTCTTCAGTAGTAAATAAGCCCAGATGATATCGCTTGGAAGACGCCGGTACTCCCGGCTGAACAATACAAAGATTCGTAGGCTGATTTGGTAGGGTTGGATGAGGAATTTCTAGAGTATTAAGATCGTGTTTCCTCCAGAGACACCAAGCCTAGATAGTATATTTCACATAGGTCCCATGCAGGCGTTCAGCATTTGCGGAAACATAAAAGACTCGAAATTTTCCGAACGCCTTCCGTAGGAGACCAAAGTGTTAACTGACTCATTCCGAAGATTTTTCGACCTGTTTGGAGCAGCCAAGGTCATCTGCACAGACGCTATAAGAGCGTTTCCCCGAGAAGCACGCTGCACACACTGCAACCCAGTATTCGTCAGTACTATGATGATGTAGATACAATACTTCTCACTTCGCCACGTTGAACTGAAGCTGGCCGCCAGCTGAGATTATATGGGCTCTGTCACTATCCCTCTATAGTGATGTGTCTGCATCCACTGTCTCATTGTCACACCAGATCTTGGAATCGTCCATAAATAGTATAAAGTCCAACCGGAGTACGCTAGGAAGAATATTTATGACGACTAGCAATTAAGGTGGTCCCCGTACCAATCTTTGGGCTATACCACACCATACTTCGATTGGGTCGGAAACGGAACTGCGAACGCCCACATTCAACTGACGTTAAATGAGGAATTTGCTTATGCAACCCGGCAAAGGGTCACCGACTCCATAGCTTCGAAGCTTGTGAAGGAGAATGCGATGGTCCAGGCGATCGAACATTTTGGAGAAATCCTAATAGATGACGTCCAGTCCTACTCTGGCATCTACTGATTCTGTCTAGCCTGTCCGCGCTAGAAGCAAGTTTGTAGTACAAGACCGATTTCGGCGGAATCCGTGCTGATGTGACACTAGTATGTTGTTACTCACAAGATATCCCCGAGCACCTATGCGGTAATACCTTCCATAAATTTGGGTAGCGCCAGGATGGTAGTAAAACAGCGGTAGTTCGAGAGTCCTGCGCGATTGTCACTCCTGTGAAAAGGAGCGACTATCACATGTTTCAATGTTGTGACAACTGGCATTTCATCGAAGAAGCGTTAAACGAACCCAAGTAACCGTTCGATGATGTTCATGGCGGCTGCCCTTAGTGTGTTTGGTTTTGTGTCGTTCACGCCAGGAGAGATGTGCATGCGCGAAGACAGTAGTCTCTTCATCGCATTCGGTGCAGCAAGGGATAGCTGGCTTAACCCTGGGGGGTGGTGTGAGCGGGAGCGGTTTCGATTCATTCTAGGAAGTGCGGAGTAAGCTGTTGGCGAAGCGCTCTGTAGTAAGTAGACCTGGGGCTCCGTGCTGTACTCGGCGGTGCTTATTAGGTGGTTGTACAGCATTCTTTGATAGGTGCTAAATAAAGCAACAAATCTTGCTGGTGCCTGAGCTTGTCCTCGAGGAGAGAAAACATGTGAATATAACCGGACATCTGGATTTGGCCCATAAACGGGAGCTATTCGATGCCAAAACGAGATAACGTGTTTCCCGACATGAGTGGATGATCGCATACTAGTGAAACGCACTCAAGTTTGAACGTTTTCAGTGAAACCCATTAACGATCGATTCGCAGTGATAACAAATAGTATATGGCTCTTGTGAAATGAACATACGCGAAATCTAGTAGGCTTAACAATTTCATCGAGATTCGTGGAATTTGAGAAGTAAGATATGGTCCGATGCTAATGAAAATATTTCCAATTTTTCCACCCACATCGCGCGGACATAGGTAACAGACAATGTGATCCAGCACCTCAACCGGTATCAATCTTTTTTAAACAACATGGTGGAAAGAATTGATCATCTGTTGAAGCGCTCAATAGACCAGGCAAGATATTTCACAAACCACCAAATGCTGGAAGAGGAGGAAACGTCTACAGACATGACGGTGAGTTGAGAAAATCGTTGCAGTAACTTTTGACACATTCAATGAGGCATCTAATACGTGCCGATACCATGTAGCCGGATGGACGGAGTGGCTAGAATCTACCGACGGACAAGCGATATGGTAAGTTAGACGAACTGCGTAACCGCCATTAACGCGTGCAACAACAAGCAGAATACGTTAATCATGTGGGTAACAGCGATTCAGATTAACAACACACTGCCAAAGGACAAAGTCTGAGTGCACCGCAGTGGAAAGTAGACTGGGGTGAACTATGGATAACTTGAATCATACCGCTTGCGTAGCCCATTGAAGAGGAATTTGGTTCCAACTTCCTGTGACAATTTTAAGTGGCAAACAACTTGCCCAAAGAAGACGAGACATGTAACTAGTGTGTCCGAATGTATGGGGAATGAGTTTGGCTGTGAAGACCAATTGAAGCTATTCGCGCCCTGATTGTACCGGGTGGTAAACCAATCACACGGAACAGCAAGTAGCTAGACTCATTGCACCGCACTATGTGGCTCGGATTGTCAAACTCGAAGCAATCCAGTGGTGAGAGAAACCGACGAAAGTAACAAGTGACTCGTTTTCTTCGCTGGATGGCAGCACTTTTGGCAAAGATCCAGCAGTGGTAGTCTGACTACAGCAGTTCAGGTAGCTATCGGCTTTATGGAAATGTAGAACTGCGTTCTGGTAGGATGGCCCCTGTAATAGTATGAACTGGACAACTGTCGCAGAGCGAATGACCGAAAGATGAGTTGATCCGTGCAGTGGTAGGAGTGCGTAGTGACTCGATTCCTGTTTTGTCGAAAGCAGTTCGTGTATCTCAAGTATTTTGAATAAAAGATATGGGTGAATGCAAAAGATCGTCGCGACGAGACCAGATGTTAACATAATATAGCCATTTGCATGCCTCTGATCGACCAGACCAGTCTAGTTGGTACACTTGAGCGCCTCGAGAGTTATCTCTATCAATCGAGCGAAGATTAGATCTCAAATAAATCAAGACTCCTGGTGCGCAAGCTAAGGGCTGGAGGTGCGCTAACACCCACTTAAATGAAAGGGTCAGATGGTATAGGCAGTCGTGTATTTTTGCTGTTTTTCGGCTGGCCTTCTGACTCAAAGGCACTTTGTGAGAGCCCTAATCACTCTCCTACACAGGTTTATGCATTCTGGCAGTATCGAAGTCCAAAACACAGAATCATCTTGCACCAACAGTTGCGAAGGGGCCAAAGTGTGCTCTAACATCCCGTATCCCGCAGCGAGAACTAGCTGCTGCTGCTGCTCCTTACGATCTGCCCTACTCGACTTCCTTACACTCCATTCAAGGCTCAGTAGCAAGCTTCTTACAGTAGTAAACAAAGAGGTGGAAGGTGTAGTTTTGGAGTTTTACGACCAATGTCTGCGTAAGTACAGCACACAACAATGTTTGATATAAAAGTCCCTTATCAGGTCACGTCGCCTGATGCCATCGAGTGCGCTCAACAAACAGAAGTCAACAATTGGCACTTGCACGCACGCTGGATATTCTAGGTATCGACATGACGCAAGTTACCGAGTTTAGCATGCATTACTTTTGCGTATTGGCCGGACTGGCTATTCCCCGCTATTGATTATAGGGTTCCGGGGACACAGACGCTGTACCCACAAGCGAGGACTTAGCTCTGGCTAAGAGTAGCGTATAGGGCCGCGGTATATGTTGTAGATTCGTGCTTGATGCATTTCCTCTAAAGAACCTCAGCCACAGTAGCGCGAAAAATGATTTCCACCAAAGAAGTTATTAAGTCCTACTACACAATGTTGCCTCATTTATGAATAATTGCAGGGGATATTGACGGGTAAATGAGTCGTCAAAGTTCCTCAGAAAAGAAGTCAATGTGCACACTTGGGCCCAGTCTGGGACACAAACAATAACCTGCGTTTATTGCAGCAACAATTGGCCGTTCTTGAACCATAACATTTTCAAGCTCAAAATAGAACCGCGAGCCATCTGGCTACAGAGAAGTAACTGGTGCAGAAAAACAACGTTGCCATAAGATTCGAGTAGTGTGGTTCCACTCTTGACAGTCTCCCAGTGTACCTCCAATTCTCGCTAAAACTCGTATGAAAACGTAGTCTCCTTGCATAATGAATGGGAAGCAGCCTAGATTCAGTATTGGGTATGCTTATTAGGATGACATGCGCACTAAGTTTGCATCCGATTGCACTGAGTATCGATAGAGAAGGGTATAAGCTGCACGGTGAATAGTCAACATTGTTCACGCTTCTTCAATACGACAATACGGATAAGGATACTTGATGGGTGGTCTCCATCCATTTCCCTTAATCCTAAAGTTTTCACATCCAATTATGTTATGTGTTCTTTTCTTCGTGCTGATAAGCAGTAGTCCCTGATTTGCAGTGACATCACCATAGGTCATCCAGCTTTAAGTATCTCGGTAACTTTCTATCCCAAAACATCTATTGTGAAACGTTTCACAAAACCAGAAAACTTTTTATGCTTTCAATAACCCAAAGTATAGTGTTGAAGTTCGTAGCTTCATGCATTATCACCCATTGGTTATATTGCCCTCCTCTGGACTGCTTCAGAAGGACTAGACATTCCTGGTATGGTCGATAAGCGTGTTCCTAGATGCTGCGTTTTATTTAAAGTTTGTCTGATTTATCTGATCACTTATGGACGTATTGACGCCTGCAACAAATTCTATTCCTAGATCTAAATTGACAAATTTCATCCACAGAACAGTATCTTTTCAAAAAATGCTCTTTTCTTTTACGCGTTTAAAATTTTTAACTATTTTCCTTCATCTCATAGTACGGTAAAACTATGCTAGCCTACTCGTCATGTTCGCTTGTGGACTCAGCGAGTCGTTAGCATGCTACGCGAGTGGGTTGTTGGAGTGGCATTTTTGTTTGCATTTTGCATTTTGTTCCTCACGTGATTATTTTTTGCTGATTGTACATCCACAACGGTAATGTAAATGCCGAGGTTTCTGTCTACGGCACTATCCGTAATCGCTGCAACGGACGTCGGATATCAGAAAGGTTGGTGAAGCCGCTGGAATTTCGAATAAACCATACGCCGGCACCGATTACACTACGACGAAACGGTCCGTCGAGTGAAGGGCAAAACGGAGTCCGCGAGCAGATAAGGGAGGCGGTTTGATTTTGAGGACGTCTAATGTTCTAGGCAGGTGGGATAAACAATCCGTGGCGGAAATGTTTAAAAGGAGCAGTACAGGGTTTGTGATAACCACGGAAGTAGCAGTTTGAAATGAATAATAACGAGGTACATTCAAGTAAACTACCCACGGTAGAAGGCAGAACAAGGTTTCCGACCTGGATGAGGCCACACAGGTCCCATTTTCATGCTGTGGCATGTGCTGAACCAGTAGCACACATACCGCAGACAGAATACAGATGCGTTTCCCGATTTTAGTAGCGCTTTGAACTCAGTCGACCGCCATTCTGTTGAATACTGCTACCAGGAAATGTGCTACCGATAGACCGCACCAACATTTTATCTATCATCTACTCAGGCGTTCAAGACATGGTTGTCGACGGTGACTTACCGAACGTTTAGCCGACAAGTGATTTTCATATTTTTGTGCAATTTTACACTGGAATGATTCTTTTGGGAACTCCGCAATGGAAGCACTGAGGAGCTACCAGGGGAAAAAACTGATTGATGTGGGCTTGCTGACGACATCTTTTGTCGTGTAATAATCGTGAGGTGATATAATTAAATCTCAACAGGCTATCCGGAGTTGTCTCATTCTATAGCGACGCAGAAGTCAATTACCTTATCTCAACAGCTGCATTAGCAACGATAGACTTATGATCTCTGAATTAAATCTAGGCATTGAGGAAGCGACACCATTCACCCCGAGACATGTAGGGCACCAGAAGAGAATTTCTATTGAATTTATAGGCCGTATAGAGTGGACTAAACTGAAGACCACTATCCAATGCAGTAGTCAGGATACCGCTTCGGCTCGACGAGCACCGACACATTCACACTCTTGGCCATAGTTACGCACGGAGCACGGCTCATGTATTGTGGTATCAGCGTGTATCCGTCGATGAGTGGAGCGCCGAGCGCGAGGCAACAATATTCATGTCAATTAAAACTCAAGAAATGGTAGATTTGTGCCGATTTGGCCATGTGAAGCATCGAAAAGACCGCTGTTTCTAACTAGGTGGTGGGTACTATATGTCCCAAAGAGGACGATTATTGACGCGGAAAGGAGAACGAAGCCACTGAGCATTAAATCAGTCGCAGTCGATGCGTCTAAACCTCCAGATTAAAGTACTTGTGACTCGCACGGTGGTTAGCAAAAAAATTATAGGGCATAGCTCGCAGATGTTATCAGTGGTGAGTTTGCTGTCGTCTCCAAACCGGACTACGTGCGCAAATTTTGTTTTATGTTATGTTATCTGTGAGCCAGTGCCGATCGAGACAAAGTCAGCTGTCTGTGGCTGCGTGCTGCTGGCCAGGTATATGTGATTTGATGAGTATTGTTTGCATAAAGTTTTGGTTACATCAGACCTTCCTTGTTATCATTTGTTATCAGTGGGACAATCATAGTTGTATCCTATGGAAGCACGATAGAAATATTGGAATACTACCGTGGATGCTGAATCCAAAATGAGTCATTACTTAACGTGCCGGACGATGGTCGGTGTGACCCAAACAGGAAGATCGATCGTGACCGCCGGGTTAACGTTTGGCGAGGTAGTATTCCGGGTGTACACAAGAGGGAAAAAGGAACACGAAAGATGCGAATGAGGAATGTTTTCAGGAAATTGAAGTTGGGTGAGACGAGACGTGGTGCGGTGAATGAAGCTGTCAGAGCTACAAGAGTTTTGAATAGTTTCCCGACTAAAGCGAAGACTCACGCCGGCTGTGTGCGTTGATATGACTACAGAAACAGGACGAGTGCCTGCGCGCATAACCATAGCTCCGTCGAACACACAATAACGCTCGTTGCGATGGCCAG